ACGAGCCGTGTGCAGAGCGTTTCTGCGCAGCGTGTGCATAGAGCGCCCCGGTTGCCAGTTGGCAGCGTTCCCGCCCAAAGACCCATTTTAGCATAAACAGATATTATTAGAAGTTATTTAGAACCGATGGTAAAGATAATAATGCAGGAATAATGCAGGACAATGGAGTGAAATATAAAATGTTAAACTAATATCAAATTTATAGTTATAGTTAGTTATAACAACTAAACATTTTAAATAGACTCGTATTTTGCAGACGAAAGATAATACGTTTATATTGTATATATTCTCATACACAATATGCTGATTAGGATAATCCCTTGGCCCACATGATAAAAATGTTATTTGTACAGCTACATATGGAGTTATGTGGTCTGTGTTTGTGTGGTTATTGTTCTTGCTTTTCAACAATAACATCACCAGTTCAAGGTAGGTTAAATGGAAACTGGGTTGTTTGGCATTACATAAGGTCCTCTGGTGGATTGGCAGTCTGTCCTCACTTAATTGTAATTGTAATGTAAAAAGTATTTTAATATAATATATATATATATATATCACTTTCTGCTGAGCTTTCCATAGGTATTATCAGCTCTATAATAATAGGAAGAGTCAATGATTAAGGAAAGATAAGACATGATGTTGCCATGACTGAAACAAATCCATATTTTAATAGCTCTTTGGATCTTCACACACAATGATATGATCTCTATCTTGGGGGATGAATATGTTATCTTATCAGTGTGAATTAATAATCTCTTGTGCGCTCCAAATAGTAATAATTCAGCACAGGTTCATATTTTATGCACACATGCTGCTATAGTTTTATGGAGATTTAACTGATTTTGTAGTTGTGCAGTATGATACAGAAGCAGAGGCTCCTGGGAGAAGGAATGTGGAGCTGATCTTCAATCTCAAACTAATTACATTGTTGAGTCAGATCAGTAACAGCTGTTGACAGGTTGTCAACGCGATCAGCAGCTCTGGGAGTTGCATTATGGCAGGGTTTAAACTTCTCAGATCCTCCTATCTGTGCATCCATTCACCAGTAAAGTAAGTATCTCTAATGTCTTTTGTAAATAGTTCTCATCAACCTAATTTATTCTACCACAAATTGAACAACACCAACATTACACAAATTCTGTATTTACAGGTAACAACTGTCATTAACACCAACATTACACAAATTCTGTATTCACAGTTTTGAACATTGAGATTTTGATTTCACAGAGGAGCCAGGGGACAGGATGGGACGGAGGCAGCTGATTTGCCATAGTGGCCCCTGAAGAAAAAAAATTCTCATTTCATAAAAATATTCACCAAAAAAGCAATAATAAAATAAAAAATAAAACTTTTTATGTTGCATTTTGGGTTATACCCAGAAAAAAATATTATACTGAAATATTTGTATTTTAAGCATTTTAATATTAGTCAGGCATTTATAAGAAAGTAGCATTATACTTTTGGTATAATAAGGTACCTCTTATGCTCTCTGTCTGCCCTGAGATCAAAAGTCTGCAGCCACAATGAACACTAAAGTATTAATTACATTATAAAATGTACACTGTCACACAAACGTCCATTTCTATTTGCTCATCTGTGACATCAGTGCTTTCCGAATTATTAAGCAGCACAACATGCAATGCACTTACGACAACAAGCTGCTCCAGAGCAACTCAGCAATTATGAATACACACGGGGCCTGTGATTATCTGTCGGTCATCAGCACTACCTTGAAATGAACTCACGTAAGTCAGGCACACACAGTGATCATGACAAACAGTTCACAACAAAACGTTCCATCTTTTTTTTGAACGCAAATATAAAATTCAAAAACATGGCACGAGGTTAAAAAAAATTGCATCAACATTTAGTTGAAGAAAAAACAGAAGTAATGATAAAGATTTAGCTGGTGTTGCAGAGAATCTTGTTTGTTTTTGTTTGAAGTCCTTGGAACTTCAAACAAAAAAAAAATCTCTGTGGTAGATCTGATCTTTCACTCCACCCCCTGCTGCTCAGGAGCATCACCAGATTAGCACTAATCTCATATACAAAGACTAATCTGACTCTGCTCAGGGACTCTGGTCAAGGGCATGCATACACACACTTTTATGTAATGCTTTTCTGTAGGTGCTTTCATTATTGTCATATACTGTGTAAAACTGGAAACACCTCAAGGTTCATATACCTGGATCCACTACCACTTTAAAACACTGGGTATTTTTAGGTAATGTGAAGTCAATATAACATTTAGGTATCGTGAAAATATAAGTCATCACAAATACTTTAATTTCTTTTTGGTTAGAAAGGTTGAAAGATTTGATAACAATATTTAGTGAAATTATTTTCAAAAGCATCCATTAGGTCCAGAAATACAAATACAAATACATGTCACTGAAACTGAAAAGAAACAACAGAAAGAAAAAAAACAGTTGTCTGTGGTTGACTCTGACTTTGTAAGGAGAGATTGAAAAATTGTAGAATAATTTTAGTATTTTCCATTTTATCAGAACGACAGCTCAAAACTCAAATCTCTACTTGTCTATCTATGACTTCAGACGTTCTCTTTGCCTGTGCTGCTTTGCTTTTTTGAGGGGCTCGGGTGGGTAATAAAATCACATCTTATCTTAACTTGCTGTGTTATTTCTGTTGCCTCAAAACAGATTTCATCAACTAGAAGGTTTTATCAGTGTTACTACAGTGGGGAGTCCACAGTTAAAATACAATGAATTGTGGTCCAGAATTTGATCATAGATCCCATGCGGGGGCATTTAATTTGAATCTTTGATGGGGGAAAACAGTATTATAAATAGAACCAGTAAAACTTTGTCACCAAGTGTATATCTACATAAATGTCATCACTTGTCTCCAAGCATTTGCTCATTTTGTAAACCATCAAGTCCTTCTATTTAACACTACAAAGTATCAAATTCCCTGTGTAAAAAGCCAAGGAAGTCAAGAAAATGCATATTGTGCTTTGTATTGATACAAAAGAAAGTAGAGTGGAATTACATCCAACTCATGTCACGTCCAGCACCATCAGGTTTTTCTTCTACTTCTTTGACAGTTTAAGCACATTATTAACTTCTTACCCCTTAACCTTACATTTAAATGGGCCATTTTTTAAAAATCTAATTCTCGTGAAGATCACGGTGGACCTTCAGCAGGCGCCTCTTCGTTTCCATCTGTATTATCTATATATTCAACATTGAGATTGCTGTCATTGTTGCCAGCAGGAGGGACATCAAGCACGGCCTCAGAATTATCAACATTGCTGTTGTTGTTGTTGTCGTCCTCCATTATTACATTGGCGCCATTACTTCCACCAGCATCACCATTGTTATAGTCATAATCCTCTTCTTCAACCTCAACATAATCATCTTCTTCTTCGTCTTCACCCTCCTCATCCTCCTCAAAGTCGCCAACGTCTTCGTCAATCTCCGAGCCCAGGACACTTTCGCGTTGTAAGAGTATCATTTGTTCGATGTACTGCTCCTCTGAGATGCCCTCGTCCCACAGCTCGTCCAACACGGCTATGTCTAGTTCTTCCAGCTGATTCGCTGTGGGGTAGTCCCCAAAGGGCACAATGTAAAGCATGGGTCGATTTCGTCCCATGTGCTGTCCGTCTCCACTGTGATCCATGACACAGATGAATGAAACCACAGGAGTGAGCCTGAGCTGGCGGCGGAGGCTCTACAGGGTTTTCCATTTTTAATATTGCATTGCTGCCTTCTTCTTCTTCCTCTTCCTCATCTTTTCATTCCAAATGTGCAAGTGGTTCCTGTCCTACCATCTCTAGCTGTCTTATTAGCTACTCTAGCCTTTGATCTGTTATGATGTCATAAAAAACTCAAAAACATAAGTCAGGTGGTACATTTTCGGACTGATGTACTTTTGTGTGGAATCCTTTTCATACAAGATTACCTCTAAGTTTTCATTTACTGGGATTTTTTAACTGGAATTTGTTTCTGTGACTTTTATTACATTATTTTTCCACTAAACAGGATCATACATCAACATGAGGATATAGACAACCTGAAACTGCAGATGAGAACATAACGTCATTCAATATTATGATCAAGATTATAATTCAACACTTAGGGTCAGTTGTCATTTTCTTTAGTCTTTTCTTCTAACTTCCACAGCACCACTTTAGCAAACTAATGCCAACACCCATGTAGTATTACACAGTCTACGTTTATACTCAACTGCTCACAAGCCGCACCCAAGTGAAGTTAAGAGCAGTTCTGAGCTGGGAGACACACTCGAGCATTATGTCATTATCACCATTCTCTGTATGTAGCCTGTTTACACCTCTCACTGATCAACTGCTCTCACCTCCACAGTCTTGTCTTCATGTCTTCCCCCTCCCCCCTCAGCGCCACAGCTGCCACCTACATGCTGCAGGTCCAGCAAAGACTCACGGGAGGCAAAGCAGAGGAGAGCAGAGATAAGCTGAAGTTGCAGGAAGATAATCCTCCTCTCTGGGATTCTCCATGTGGACTCTGATGTCTGCACTTCAGCTTTGCATTATTTAAAAGGACCGACTGGGAGAAGAGAGAGGAAGAGAGACATGTAATCATGGACAGGTTAACCTCAGCGATGTACGTTTATAACCTGACAACATTTTATGACTTTGTGAATATTTGTGACTGGCGTTAATTGTAGCATTGTTGCAACAGTGCAAATAATATTTGTAATTTACTGTACAATAAAAAAAGATGAAGTTACCTATTCACGTATGAGAGCTGTGCAGATTATACACTATATCAACATAAAAAAAATAAACAATTTAAGGGACAGAGAAGTTCCTCCTCCTTCACCTAATTCCTCCCCCTCCTCCATCTCCTCCTCCTCCTTTCTCACTTGTTGTCAGTTGTTGGTATAGCTTTGATTGATTTCACAGCAGGAAACACACCAGAAAGGAAGTGTTTTACCTCCTCTCTACCTTTTATCCTCACTTGCAGTGAATTTTTTCAACTTAGCTTTTTATTGGAGCGTCTGTTCTTGTGAACAGGAGCTCCGTCTCCTCTGTGATGGAAATAAGGCACAGAGCTGGAGCAGCATGAAAAAGACTCTTCTGACTAACAGGAACAGCTAACTTTGTCATTACATTTCAGGTGAGCTTCTTTGTGTTTGTTATTTTTATTATTATTATTCATTTTATGATTTAAAAAACCCTAAATTCAAGGCGAAGCAATGAAAATCTCTTTAAAGTCCATGTAATCTTGTAGAGAGGGATTTGAGTATTTAAAGAAGAAACGTGTTGCGCTAATGAGACTGAACGGACTAACGTGAAGTGTGTGTTTAAATTTGTCTTTGTTAGAATCCATCAAACATGCACGATTTTTCAACTGTCCTACCATTAACTCGGAACTGGCACCAGTCCTAAAGGGGTCTCCCCTCCCCACCCCCACCAGTACATGCATTTTCTGATAAACCACTAACGTCCTGCCAACGTCTTTCCAAAGATGTTCTCAATGATGCAAGTGTGGAGAAGCAGAATATTCCAGTCAGAGTACAGCTCCAGCAGCCAAAGGAAAGAAGCCAACATGCAGAATCAGAGCAGGTAGGATTTATGTTTACCTGCAAACTCAGCCAGTTATTGGTGTAAGACACAGAGAAGAAGAGCACAGTAATGGAGCGCATGCTGCATATCGTGCTACTTTTCAACTTCTCGATTACCCAACTACTGTTAGATACAACTCTGAAAAAAAAGTTAGGCCTATATGTTATTAGTCCAAAATTCTGAATGTTGCTAATTCTAGACCAGAGTCGTCAAACTCAAGGACAGTCAATACTGCAGCTTAATATATATATATATAATTATACATTTGGAGAAGAGAGGAAATGCCTTGAAAAAAATAATTGGCCAAAAGTCTACTAATTCCGTCCAATTCCGATTTCTGAGGAAAATACATGCTGTCCAGGACCAGATAACTATCAGCAAACTGATCCTGCTGGAAAAATAACAATAAAAATGCAGTCAATGCTCAATGTAGATTTGATTGCATTTGGAAGTAAAGTTTGGCTCACACAGACACACACACACACAAAGTGTAATCATACATATGAAGATCTGTGGGGCCTTGAGTTTGACACGTGTTCTAGAGATTCACGAGTGTTTTTAAAAACCCTAATCAAGACATTTCCTATTGCAGCGATCGTCCTCATCTCGCGGGACACAACACAAACAACTGCAACAACAATGATGGGTAAGATGCTGTACTTCAATGTCTTTAGTCTAAAGCGTGACAGCACAGTTTGGCTGCTATTTACTTTGTTTACTAGCTCTTTTCCAAAGGCCATAGAGAAAATCACTGTTTCTACTCATGCTGTCGTCAATAAGAAACACAGCTGTGGATCAATAACTGCTGGATGGATTGATTAGAAATAATCAATACTTTTCCCTCTGGTCTATGGAGAGTTAGCAGTTAATAAAATGACAAAACTGTATTAAGACTTAACAGGCTGCTCGGCACAGGTGAAGGTATGTCAACTGTACTGTACCACAGTGCCCTCTTCAGTCTAACTGGCATTACTGAAGAATAAACAGACAAAACATTAACTATCTGACTTTATGGACATTTGCAGCAAAAAAGACGAGAAGAAAGATGAAAAGAAGGATGAAAAAAAGGACGACAAGAAGGACGACAAGAAAGATGACAAGAAGGATGATAAGAAGGAACCGCCGTAGGAATATTTCTATTATATACTTCCTTCTATTAACATTATTATTATTATTATTATTATTATTATTATTATTATTATTATTATTATTATTATTATTATTATGCATGGTCACTACCAGCTGTTGTTAAGTTGAACAAACCAAACATTACATGGACTTTCAGACACTAAACTGTATTTTTTATTTTTTATTATTTGAATTATTACAGTTTTGCTCATATAAAGCTAAATAAAGCTAGACTTAGCTATGTCCTGGTTAACCTTTACTGCAATGTTTTATATAGATATTGTTTTTATTGTTATTATATTTATTTTCACTTATTATTTTTTTTCAGTTTTCACTACATGTAAAATATAGCTTGCCTAAAATCTATTAGATCTTTTTGCACATTTTTATTACTTTTATTTGCTTAAATTCATTTCCTTGTCTTATTTGATATAACTTAAGCTATCAGTGATCTATTTTTCTATATGTTGGGCCTACTTAAAACGTTTTGTGATTCAGGAAAGAAGTATGGATTATGGACCCTGCCACAGATATGTACTACTACTGGCTGCTCACCATCTCTGTCCCTGTGTTTTACAACCTCATGTTACTGATTGCAAGGTTTGTATTCATGTTATTTTGTTTCCACACTTCTTTAAATTTCACTGTGGTTATCTCTCTCTCTCTCTCTCTCTCTCTCTCTCTCTCTATCTATCTATCTATCTATCTGTCTGTCTGTCCATCTATCTGTCTGTCTGTCTGTCTTGTTTTTTAACAATATTCTTCTTCTTCTTTTCAGGGCTTGTTTCAATGAGCTCCAGTCCAGAAACTACACCTTGTGGATAGCTCTGGACTATATTTCAGACGCACTGTACGCCACTGACACTTTTGTGAGATACAGGACAGGTCAGTGTTTGGATGATTTGCAGAAAAATATTTTGCATTTCTTGTGGCTCTAAAGACATTCTCCCCTCTGAAAAGGCTTCCTGGAGCAAGGACTGCTTGTCAGGGACGCGAAAGCCTTGAAAGAAAGGTACACAAAGACCCTCCAGTTCAAATTGGATGTCATATCCCTTCTTCCTACTGACATTGCGTTCATCAAGTTTGGAGTCAACAACCCAGAGTGGAGGTTCAACCGTCTCTTGAGGTTGGGGCGCCTCTTTGAGTTCTTTGATCGGACTGAAACACGAACTAACTTCCCAAACATATTCCGAATCGGTAATCTTGTTCTTTATATCATCATTATTATCCACTGGAACGCCTGCCTATACTTCGCCTTCTCTAAAGTACTTGGATTTGGCTCAGACACTTGGGTGTATCCAGATATAAAGAAAGCAGAGTATGGTCGTCTGGCCCGACAGTACGTCTACTGCTTCTACTGGTCCACCCTTACCCTAACCACCATTGGGGAGACGCCACCACCAGTCCGAGATGTTGAGTACTTTTTCGTAGTGATTGACTTCCTCACTGGGGTTCTGATCTTTGCCACAATCGTAGGAAATGTCGGTGCAATGATATCCAACATGAATGCTGCACGTGTAGAGTTCCAGGCCAAAATTGACTCCATCAAGCAGTACATGCACTTTCGCAAAGTCACCAAAGATCTGGAGGCAAGAGTGGTGAAGTGGTTCGACTACTTGTGGACGGAAGACAAAACCTGTGACGAGAAGCAGGTTTTGAAGAACCTGCCAGACAAACTGAAGGCCGAGATAGCCATTAACGTTCATCTGGAGACACTACAAAAAGTGCGAATATTTCAAGACTGCGAAGCCGGTTTGCTGGTCGAGCTGGTCCTCAAGCTTCAGCCGCAAGTCTTCAGTCCCGGCGACTACATATGTAAGAAAGGAGACATTGGTAGAGAAATGTACATCATTAAAGAAGGACAACTGGCAGTAGTAGCAGATGATGGTGTCACACAGTTTGTGGTTCTCAGTGATGGGGCCTACTTTGGTGAAATCAGTATCCTGGGGATCAAGGGCAGTAAGGCGGGGAACCGAAGAACAGCCAACATTCGAAGCGTGGGCTATTCTGATTTATTTGCCCTGTCCAAAGATGACCTGATGGAGGCGCTCACCGAGTATCCTGACGCCAAATATGCACTTGAGGAGAAGGGGAGGGCAATCCTGATGAAAGACAATCTCATAGACGAGTCACTAGTTGCTGCGGTTGATGCCAAGGAATTGGAAGACAAAGTGAGCCAGATCGAAAGCAGCCTGGAAATCATGTCCTCCAAATTTCAAAAACTGACAAATCAGTATGAATCCTCGCAGCGTAAACTCAAGCAGCGACTGGTGAATATGTCAAACCAAGTCCGAAGTCTTAATGTAGATCTTGACTAATGTGTGCTTTTGTATAAATACTGCAGGGAACCAAGGCATTCCTTGGTTTCCGAGGTTGTCCTGTTGGATCTTGGTGCACAATAAATTGTATTTCAACCAACGTTTATTAGGTGAAATTAGGTTCTTATAAACAGTTCTCACAAATTGTGCCTGATAACTGTTATTTAGTGTAGGAATTCATAATAAAAAGTCATCATAAATTGAAAATTAATAAGCACTTGATAATATTTTCTCCTGATGCATTAGCTGTAATTTATGGATCATACAAAAAACATTCTGACATTGCTTAAAAAAATAAACTAATAAAAATAAAAAACTAATAAACAGAGGGTTCTTTTTTTAATTAGGATATTTTTACAACAAAGCCACAGTTTTCACCCAAAAAGTGTATTTATTTACTAATAAAGGTATGTGCAATTGTACTTAAATGGGTTTCCTAAAAAATGAAAACCAATTTGGGATTCATAAAGTATAAAAGTAAGTATTTTAAAAACAAAACAATGTTTAAATTATGGTATGTTTCTATACATACATTATACATTATACAATTGTGGAATTGCTAACAAATTAAATACAAAGTAAACAGGGAGGAGGACGCATGTTAATACACCCTCTCGCTGACCCACTGTACCTGAGCTGTTCTTTCTGGTGAATTGAATTGATTCTGATGGAGCTGGTGAAATAATATTTCCACTTGCTCAGAGAACGGTTTATTGCAAATAAAAAAAAATAAATAAAAAAAAAGTTTTCTTTTTTATTCCCACATTTCCTTTATGTGGGAATAATTCCTAAATTACCTTTGTTATTACCAAAGTGTAAACTGTTACTGGCAGGAATTTTTGTGTTATATTAATAATTTATCAGTACCTAGCAAAATATAACCAAAGCAGCCAAATGGTGGAGTACAGGAAATCCTTTATAGCAGGAAAGTGTTTTACCCACTCTTTATAATCAGGGGTTAGCATACTAAATATTTATTACATTACAGGTTTTTGTTGATATTTAACCATTCATTTGGATATGTAAGAACTTGAAATTTGCTCAGTTAATATACTGTATGATTTTCTTTGTCTTAGTAACTTCTACACAGATAATACAATTCTTTACACCTACATTCACTATCTTTTCAATGTCCTAAAATTAAACATTTTTTAAACATGTTGAGTTTTTTATACAAATATTTTAGAAAAATTGTGTTGCAGGACTTTTATCTTCACACACTTGACAATCTTTCTACTGACAACAAAAGGACCAGTAAATGAAAATTTTAAAGGAGATACAAGTTGGAAAAAGCAGTCGTCTTTATTTTGCATGTTCCAACAGCACTGTATACTTTTTTTTTTTTAAACCTCTACTCATTTTTCTTTTTAACGTTTCGGAACACCAATTATTAAAAATGTTTCCCTTTCCAAAATCAAGTAGACTTTCCTTCTATAGACCTTCGAAGCACTAGAGCCATGGTGAGCAGCAGCTACAGGGTTACAAACACAGGTACAACAAAATGTAGAACAGTTGAAACCAGATCTGGACTAAATACAGTCTCCAAATAACTAACCATTTTCTTGTCAGGCTTAACAGGGTTCAGCTGTACTTGTTAAGCACATATACATTTGCTATATGTCCAGTGTTTGTTCTGCCATTCTTCTTGCTTAAGCTCACACAACAAAACACCAGATCAGGTTGAAACCAGGATGATTGAAAAAAAAAAAAAAAAGAACAAGAGGACAAAAGACAGATGGCTCAGGTTTGGCGTTTACAGCAGCACTCTGAAAGCCCGCTTGGCTGCCATCACCACCACAAACTCAAGTCGAGTCTCACATTTCACACAGGTGTGAATTCACATCACCGGGGCAAGAACTTTGTGTTTTACATGTAAAAATCACACAGGGGCTCTTCTATTAAACAACGCCACATGAAGTGCTTGTATAAAATGATTTTCCAGTACATCACTGTTTCCTCTAGGGGTTTGCTCTCCACATTGAAAAACTCTGGCTTCTGATATTGATTTCCTGCTTTTGTTATTGAATCATTTGTCCTTTAGTTGGTTCACTTTTTATTATCCGTTCACCAAGCAATTTTTCCCCACAGTTAACCAAATTTCAACCAAATGTAATTTTTTGGTCATAACTTTTTGCAATTCTTCAAACTACACAGCAGAGTTTGATTGTAAAAAGGCCAGAACAGGAAAGTTGCAATCACTGTTTCCCAAAACTTTCATCAGGTTTAATTTTAAGAAGAACGAAATCTCTGCAACTACTTCACTCAACTTGGACAAACCAGCAACAATCCTGTTTTTCTGTAGGTCTTTGTCAGCAGTGCTTGGCCATAAGTCTATATGCAGCTCGCTAGGGGGCAGGGATGAGCTCTCGTCTGAGCATTGAGTAACAATTGGAACTTGTATCCAGCAATGTTTTATCACTACAAAAATGGATCAGTGGTCTCGCAACTTGGGTTTTAAGGCAAATCAGGCAAATGTGAACAAGGATAAAAACAAATATGGAGCCAAAACGCTGGTGTGAACAGAGACCGCTTTTATTTGGAAAGCCCATTATTTGAGCAAAAACGAAGAAATGCTTATGTGGCCTTTTGTTTTTGGACATGACCGACACTGTTGTACCAACTTCTGCTTCAAAAATTAAGCGCGCCTGCCAATCTACACAGCACTGCAACAGGGTTCACTCTTCAGCCGACTGCAAGGGTTGGCACAAAAATGAATCTGTTTCTCCATGTGAGAACATTGTCACTGACAGGCTGACAAGAGTGTGTCCTCGAAAAACATGCCTGATATGCTGTCATCGCATGACCTTGCTGATATATAAATACTGTGGGTTTACATTTGGAATCTCCAACAAATGAAGATATGGAAGTAGAATGTTTCAAACAATCAATGGTGGTGGATTGAGGCCTAAAACCAAAACAAAAAAAAAACATTATGAAAATGTCTAAGTGCACTTACACAGCTCTGACAAGGTTTTAGTCGAATGTGCGTTGTCCGCTCACCCGTCTGGGGAGAAAAAAAAGGCCTTAAATAAAAAAAATAAAAAAAATTAAACTAAATGACTGGAATTTTCTCATTGCTTATCTTTACCATAAACCTGCTTGATAAGGATTACAGTAATCAGCTGAAGCTAGAGCTGTTGTGGTTATTGCTATGCTGTGTTTACATCCTTCTTTTTTGCTCGGCACAGAATGTTTTTCGCTCTTTTATTCCTATTGGGCATTCCTTTATTCATAACTAAAAAGTTTGTAGGTATTAATGTCCTTTTACACTGCACGTGCCTGGAAAAACAAAACAGACCAAGCAAGGGCGTGTAAGAGCAGCTTGAATCAAACCAGTATAAATGGTTTGACTAAGAAAAAAAAAAAAAAACCAACAACAACCACCACAACAGCCATGGCTAGAGCTCCTTAGTTTTCCCATGAGAAATACAATAATGTGTATTCTGTACACTCTACACTAAAACTTGACCTAATCTGTCAACATCATGAGATCGAGACTTTAAAGGCTTTGACGACATAGTTTTTGTTTTGTGAAATTAAGTTCAAATCAACTTTTTGATGCAAAGTCTTCAATTCACAAAGTTTAATATTAACCCTCTCTCTTCCATGATTAGGGAAAAAACAGGCAGGCTTGGAAAAAATGTACGGTAACCTTCAAATAAATAATAAGGAAAATGATCTTCTCTGTACATAGAAAAAAAAAAAGGAAGGGGAGGCTGCAGCACATTCACGTGAAGTGGATGCTGGCGGAGTGGGAAATTTGATCAGGTCTGTGTGCTCACACTGATGACGGATGATACAGGCACAGTAGAAGAAACTACCAGAGTGCTCTATTGGAACCATGTCTCCTTTTTATAACTGACTTGCTTTTGTTTCCCTTCCAAACTCTTTCTTAGTCTTTTGCCACCGTTTCTGATTAACCGTGTCTGATAAAGGAAGGAGGCGGGAGCTGGGGCGTAGAGGCTTTCTGAGATCGAGTCCCTTTCGCCAAACGTCTGGAGTGGGAGGGGCGGGGGGCGAGGCTCAGAGCATGCCAAATCCTTTGGCATAGGTGATGGCTTTCAGCAGTCTCTCTCGCAGCTTCTCCTTACTGCTGTACTCAGGCAGCAGCAACACGTTAAAGCACGTGTGAGACGTCGGTAACCTATCAAGGCGAATCACAAAACATTTGATGATTCACTTTGCATCGCATTTTACTGTGTCTTACTTAAACATAAGCGGATGTGTGTGAAGTGTGGAAGACTCAGCTGTTTTACCACGGACGGATTACTTCAGTGCTGCAGATTTTACATTGATTACAGTATGGATACACTCAAAGTTTTTGGTCTTAGCTTCCGTGCTACTTAATGTGGCGTAATGTGAAGTATAGCGATTGAAAAATACAAATGACATCATCAGTGACTATTTGACAGCACCTGGACTATCATTACATTAAATTTGACTTCCAAAAATTGTTGTGCTTGGATTTAATTTTATTGCAATACAGTGGAAACAAGGGCTTCATTAACAGCAGGGGTAGCTCACCTGTCTGTGTCAGGGCCGTTCTTGGCGATGATCATCTTCAGCTTGCCCAGCCCCCCTACAGGTGCTCGGTCAGTGCCAGTGGTGAACTGCAGGAAGAGTCGCTTCTGCTCTTCACCGAACGAGTGCAAAGTCTCCCAAAATTCTCTACAAATGCAGCAGATGTTCCAGACAGTCAGAAAAGTAACCACACGTCTAGTTCCTTGCAAACATGGTAGACGCTCGTTCCATCAGCTGCCTCTTCATTAGAAAAAACAGTTACTGTTTCTTAATTAACAGTAGATTAAAAAAACAGCCTTCCTTTACTTACTTGATGATTCGTGAATGTCTGTTGTAACCACCATCATATTCTGTTGTTTCTTCAAGTGCGAGGAAGTCCAGGTTCTGTAGTGTGTCACAGAAATAAAGAAAATAAATAAAATAATAAAGTAAAGCAAAAAAAAACAACTACTGGACAAAGTCACATTGCCGGTGTCAACTCTCACCCTGCTTCCACAGATAAGCAGCTCGATTTCTTCTGGCCGGAAGAGGTACTTGAGCGGCGACTCGTTGGTGACCATGTGGAAGCCTCTCCTGAATGCTTTGAACTGTTTCTCTACACTTTTGTTCAGAATGTACTCCGAGTACTGGGCCACAAATTCCTGCAAGGACACATTAGCAGTGGTATTAAATCAGAGTCACAGCAGCTGACGACAGCTGGAGGTCAGAGGTAAAATTAATTTGTGCCTCACCTTTCTGTTTTCATTTGTGACTGGAATCTTATCCCCGTTTTCTCTTAAATCATACATGAGCGGGTTACCAAACAGGTCTGTCTGTGAAATCTGGAAAGTGATCATCATGTCCTCCTCCACGCTGCCTTCATACTCCAGCAGCTCCTTCAGACTCTGGTACAGCACCTATACAACAAAGTCACATTTCACCTTAGCAGAGGTAAAAAATAACAGAGAAAAAAGGTTTCTTGACGCCCTTTCTTACTGGATTGGCATCAGCCAGATCCCTGAAGGTTCCTTTTTTGCCCATCAGTTTCCTGTAGACCACCATGGGGAAGTGGACATCCAGAATACAGTTGTTATAAATGGCCAGACCCAGAACGATGCCGATCAGTGTGTACTGGCCCTCGTTTTCAAAGGACGAGGAATTGAACCAAAACAATTTGGTTCGTTCATCATACGTGAACATGCCTAGAAAAGGTAGGATAAACCACATTGTATAGAAAACTGAACAATCTTTTATTATTGATAAATACAGGCAGCGGTTTTTATAGCATAAAGTAATAATATCATATCTTTTTTATATTAATTCATTTTTATATGCATATTTTTTTACAATTTTCTTTCACTTTAAAGTGAAGGGAGAGTTAAACCAGGAGTGGTCATTAAAGCAAAATAATTACCGATGTCTGGGTTGAAGATTTCCTCCACCACTAGTTGGAAAAACTCTTTGGAAACACCTCCTTCATCAACACCTTGCTCTCCTTCAAACTCCACATACAGCTGCTTCTTCAAGTCTGCAGGATTTTCCATTGCTATCATTTCCAGCTGCAGAGAAACCAAACAATATTCATGAGTAAAACAGTAAATCCGAGAGAATAAAAACCGTGAGCGGAAAAAGGAAGATAGACATACCCTGACCAGAGCATCGTCAATGATATGGTCTCGCCGCACCTTGAGCCGCAGGTATGGGTTTAGCTGCTGACCCTGCACTAAGCTGTACAACACTGTGATACGCCGCTCGCTGTACATGCGGATGCGGTTGTCGTAGTAAAGACCAAGGTTTTTTGTGACTGCATTTAGGATGAAGGGGCACGTCATAAAGGAAAACTTGTTTTCCGTTTCAACCTTAAAGAAAGTGTAGTCTTTGTCCATCTCCAGTACCTCGTTTAGAGGCTCATTCACAAACTCCTCAAAGGGAACTAGTGGCCGCCGACAATCGTTAGTGCGGATCCCCAACTCAGTCTCCACCGGGTCCACCCGAGGGCCCTTTTTGTTTCGCCGTTCTTCCCCTAACAGCTCTTGCAGCGTGAGCTCACTGGACTCAGGGATGGGCTCCTCGTCCTCATCCTCATTGTGCTCCACATCCAGGTCCCCACCCAGCACGTTTGCATAGTAGACAATCTTCAAGCACTTGGTGGCTGCCACCACTGCGTCGTCGTCATTGACCAGGTTGCGGCTGTTGAACTCCATGAAGATCACCTTGTAGGTGATGAGCTGCTGGAAGGTTTCCACCATACGTCGAATTTGCTCAGCGCTGTAGTGGGACCATAGGCGTGCCAGCTTGGCCTGAGCTGCCAGCGGGAGTTTACTCATGGCCTTGCAGAACTGCGGGAGAGCAATCTCCAGGTACTCTGGGCTGTGCAGGTTGCTATTTTCCATCACTATCACAAATAGGTTCAGGTAGTTGGGGTCACGAGAATATACGTTGTGGTAGGTTAGGTCGCACTCTACATTTGGCGAGAGGTAGACCAGTGCATTCAAAAAGGCTGCTTCTATCTTCTCATTGGAAAGTAGGCGTTCGTAGACCCGGCGCACAGCCTCAATGTCCACAGATACCTCATCTGGGGCCAGCTTTTGGACATCATTATCCCCTGAACAGCCCTCTCCGACCCTTGATGAAGAGGCAGCAGGGGAATCATCCTCCATCGCTGTGGCGGAGCAGGCAGCAGCAGCTTCTTTCTCATCTTCATCCTTGTCCTCATCCTTACCTTGAAGAGACTTTAGTTCCTCCTTTGTGTGTGGTTTGGTTCTCCGAAAACTCTGCACCAGGCCCTCGGCACTTGAGAAAACCCGACCTATTACTCTGATCAGTGGAGAGTAGTCCTCGTTCTCTCCACAGATGTCCAAGATCTCGTACACTTTCTCTTCTGTCAGGTAATTTACATCTGCACACAGAATAAAACCAATGATTAAAATAAGGATAAAAGTGGGTAATCACTTTAAAATTCATGAATCTACGCAGAAGAGTAAAACAGACGATCAAACTTTAGGAGAGATGTTACACTTAAATACCTTTGATTCATTGTTTACTGTAGATACTGGTTGCATGTTTCGGTTTAGTGTTTTAAATTAATCCCATTGACTTGAGATATATCAGTACTTGTAATAAGTACTACTAAGCTACCTTGTTTACCTTTCACATCACTTCACATTCTTTTAACAATGATTAAACTCTAAAACAGTAAGTGGTAGACTGGGTGGACCCTGTTGTGCCGGACATCAATTGCATTGCATTTGATGACAGAGATGGTGACAGACACAATTAATCTTTGTTGAAGGATGGCCAATCAACCACAACCTACGGAATATTCTGACCACACAGAAAGATAAGCTTTTATTTAAACTCTGGTTGTGCACACTGACACAGCATGGGCATGATGCTTGTCTTGTTTGTGTGTGTGAGACCTCCAGACAATTACTTGATGTTTTTTATTAAAAGGTATTCAATCCCGATTTTGCCAAAAAAAAAAAAAAAATCAAAATTAATCATTACAATTACAACACTGGATTATTTGTACCAAAGACAAAATAACATAGTAGACTGAACATAAGGAACACAAGTGTCACTGTCTCAGGTGGGAGTAATTGAAGTGTTCTGGTGAGGCTACATTTTTTTATACCTAAATTTTTGTTGATTTGTTGATTCACCACATTCTGACAAATGAAACTTGACTATGATGCAAAACGTTTCCTCCGCTTTAAACCCTTGTGGAAAAATTAGTGGTCCAAAGTAACAGAGTTGATGCAGTATTTTTATGGAGTTCATAAAAACATATTTTTTTCACCCAATAAATAGCTTTATTAAAAACACCTTGCAGTAAGTGAAATCTTTATGGCTGTCTGCCTTAACATAAAGAATCCAAATGGAATCGTATTGTGAGATTCTTAACAACAACTCACCTTTAAAATTGTCCCGTATAGAGTGAACATGTTTGTCGTTCACTTTCCTGTTACTGCAGGCTGAGTTGCTGTGAGCACCGCTTTCCAGGTAGGCCGACGCCGTACCTTTCTTTGATGGGTGAGGGTCGCAGAGCTTGGCATTAACCTTGTAAAGTTCGAGGGCTTTAACCGCCGCTGCATTGTTGTCCATGCGGTTAAAGCCGACTGACGAGGCGCACCACGAGTTCGAGCACGTCTCATTCCCACAGCCTTCTGTTAACTGGTGGTAATAGCGCTCTATTAGATGCTTGGCAGCTGCTCGCTTCCTGCAGTGCAGATGTAAGACGCAAGTTAGAAGTTACACTTGAAAACACAAGTCTTCTACATATTTCAATTGGTGAACACCATCAAAGATGAATGACAATGACATGCCACACAAAAACAATCACAAGAAAAGAGGAGTGCCTGGAGTTTTCTTTGGTTTTACATGTAATTAATCGAAGATCAAAATCAGCAAGAGTGTTATTAGCACATCAACTCTATATCAACTTTATAAATGAGCAAATGAAAACAGAATTACAAAATATAGGCTTACCCTTTCTATTCCTTGATTATAATGATAATCATTGAGGAGTCAAGGGAGAAAATTAACAAAAGACCCAAAACCCAGGACTAGACAGCCAAGACCACTGGCTCGACAAAATAATCAACATCACGTGCAAATGTTTTAAAGAGTTGTGAAGAACACAAAATGCACCATTTTAGGTAACTGTATTTCTTGGCACATCTTCAGGAACTACTATGAAAAGTAATACCTGCAATTTGGCAAGGCACAATTTGCAGTTTTGCAAATGTGCAAAAGGACTGTTGTTGTTTTGCCAAACGGAAGTCTGTAATAAACAGCTAATTGTTCTCTTCATAATGCATCAGATATTTTCAATATGACAATGATTTCTGGTGATGCTGTGTAAAGACATCGCCTTAAATCAGAGAAGATTTCATTGTGACCTGTTCATGTTCTCCACTGTCACAGTCATTCTATGATTACTTGAGAACATATATAGAAAAGGAAATAATCAGTGAGAATTGTCAAGGTGACACAAATGTATAAAGTCAGATATGCACTGAGTGGCCAAATCTCTAGGTAGGAACTATCAGGCATTTGTAATCGTCTAATCAACTATCAAACATCAGCAAATCACTAGTATAATGAGTAAAGAAGTTGACTTGGGGTATTTCTCATATGTAGTCAAATTTGCAACAAAGCAGAAATTATACATTTTCCCTGTTTTCATAATACTGAGATTAAGAATGTTTTTTTAAGATGGGTGGTGTTGCAAGTTGCAAGAGTGTTTAGCCATTAGACTGAGAACCTTATGAAGTGGCTAAAAGGTGCTTAAATCCAATAAGAGAATGAAAGTTACTCACATTCGGCTGGCTTCTGGGTTTTCTATTTCAGGCTCCTCGTATTCACTAATGGAACAACAAAAAAAGCATCAAATGGAGAAGTGCATCACAGACGTGATAATTATAACACATACTGTTAGCTTAATATAACAGAGTTATATTAAATATTATATTAGAGACACTGTCCATGGCTTGGCATTATGTTTTTAATTTATGCCATTCTATGAACTGGGATTTCTGCACCCCACTGACCTAGGGGTGCAGGCTCCCTGGTGGTATACATCCTATTAAAGCCACCCACACTGGACCACAAGTCTGCAGCAGTGATGGACATTTGACATTAGTGGACAATTTGTTTCTGTTAAGATTGAGAGACAAGCATGCCTCACTAATTGCTTATCATGTTTACTCCTTTTGATGACTTTATGTAAATACTGTCCTTTTATCAAGCCATTTTTGAAACAGGAAATCATGCATGTGAGGTGTGAGAAAATAAGAACAACAGAGACAAGCAACTAAGCAAAAGCTTGGTTTTATACTCTTTCATAAAGTGAGACACAACAATTAACTGTATTTGCATTGCTTTTGGAAATATATTTTGGCCAGATAGTGATACTGTGACACATTGACAAAAGGCAAAATAATAGTCTGCTTGTCCTGTGAAGTTCCGTTTTACACTATCAACCTGCGCAGTAACCAATAAGAAAAGTGTAGAAGTTCTCCATTAAAGTCTGTCGCATGACACATTACACTGTTGTGATTGCGAACCACCAAATCTGAAACAGCAGATAATCATAATGTTGTTGGTAATAAGAACAGAGCCACTTTGGCTAAAATGCAGTTGGTGCAGAGTTACCACTGTTTGGCACTGCTGCTCATAAACGCAACCTTACCATTTATTTTTTATATTTCAAAATAAAACCGAAACAGTTTCTGCGATAACAAAGAGTGAAGAAGGGAAGTGTCAGGTGCTCTGACATCTTGGCGCTAACTTAGCTTAGCATATACTAGCGTTAAACTACAGGCCTTATTCCGAAGTCCTTATGGAAGACTTTATATTTTCTTAAAATAATAACAAAATTTATGATTAAACCAACCCATGTGTAATCTAAATATTATGTCAATATAGTCGTGGATAAAAGCAATTAGCTTCCGCATGGTAACGCTACCATCAGTGGCTAACTAGCCTGCTAGCCTAACCCTGCTTCATCGACTCTTTCCTGACGGAGAACCTACCTCTGGGCTCCTCCTGCGGGGCTCCTCTCGGCCTGTGGTGGCGCACACTCACAGTCCTCCTTCTCGTCGGAATTCATACGAGACTTTCTCCCCCCCCCCCAGTTGTTTGGGATCCTGTTGCTGTCGATGAACCCTCAGAGTCCGTCACAGGTCAATGGCGACGCCAGCGGTGGGAACGTAGGGTTTTCGGTAGAAAATCTCATTCAGGGCCTCCCTGCTGCAGGTTTCCTACCCTGCCGGAGCTCCACAGCCATCTTGACTTCGCCACCATCCAGCCCACATCCCACAATGCACTGCGGCGGAGCGACACACGATGGACTGGAGGTGGATTTTCACAGAGAAGGAATGGGACTGGTAAGAAGAACTCATCATGCATATTACCCTATAAATAACGCTTAAGTCCGAAATAAACTCGTTTACTTAGTTTTGTCTTTAACTTTTGTGTTCGTCATCAGAAGAAAATTGTCAAGACAGAAGTTTGGCTTCTCAAGGTTTTTTTTATTCACCTCATATTCTTCTTCTTTTAGCCAAACAAAATTCCCAATTTTGAAAGCACAAGGTCATCCGTACACCATGACTCCACAGTTTTACAGCTCATCCTGGTGAAAAGTGCTCTTTGTGTTCTAGGTCCCTCCTTGTTCTTTGGACTAATGCAACAAATCTGGAGCCAATGTTTAGTTTTATCTAACCATCTCATACCCAAATAAAAATAACAACAAAAATGATAATAATAATAATAACATTTTCTATGCGTTATCGCAAACATCTTGAATTTGTTTTAATTCTCATTTTGTTTTACACATTTACAAACTGGGAGGTAATCTTAGAAGTGCCAGTATAAGTGTACATTCCTCACAACAGCTCAGATTACCGATGTTGTATGCAGAGCTTTATTGAATTTTGTGATATTTTAGCAATTGATGTTTGCAGTACTATTGGGTATGTTGCTGGATCTTTTTGATGGATTGGATTTCACGGTGTGTTGTATTTAGCTATAAACTAGTATTATTAGGCAATACATTATGCAAATTAAATACTTTTATTTTTAAGATTTAACAATTGACTATACGTTTCTCATCTGTAGTAAACACATTATTATGAGCACATAATCCATATACCTTTAGTAGAAGTAGTGATGTTTTTGTTGATCTTTAACCCCACTGTATATTTTGCAGAAGTTTGGTCTAGTTTAGACCATATGTAAATCTAGGTATTTTTAACTAAAACCATTTACCGTGTTGTTTTAGGTTGGAAAGCAGTGTTTTGGTATCAACCAATAGTCACAATTTACAACGTTAAAGACTTTCGGTTTGCACACCTTTAAGCGTGAACGTTTGGTACACATTGTTTCCAGCAGAGGGCGGTATGGAAACATGAAAAACTAATAGCATAAATTTTATGCTATTAGTGCAACATTCACGCACTTGGTTTATTTTATGCCATAAAATAAACCAAGTAATTACAGTCTAAATCCTCGATTTTAAACATTAATATAATGTATAATATTCAGGCAGTAGGGGGTGTACATCTTAACAAAAAACCAATGCTATATGCTATGTTCAGTCACAACATCACCATGAAGATTAATAATTAGTTACTTGTTCTTGTGGAGACTATTTTGGTCAAATTTGAGTTTGACATTAAAAGTCTGATGCTGCCTACTATAACTTTAGAATGATGCTAACAATAATATTGGAATAAAGAGAGAAAGTGGAACTCCATGACCTATATTCATACATCTAAGTCTGTTTTCTTTATAATTATTATTACACACTGTGTGTGATGGAATGCTTGAGCCTTGAGCTCATTGAATACATGAATGAATGAGCTGTTGTTGGCTGCTGCAGAGCGGTGGAGCACAGCCACTGGATGATTCCTGTTACTGTTCAGTCACTCAGCTCTCGCAGCACAAGGCTGAACACTGCTGTGAGATCGTGTTGCAAACACACGGCTCTGTAATTACAGGAGGATGCCGCTGTGCAGTAGCTAACAGAGGGATGTTGTTTCAGGCACCAGTAGACCAGAGAGCAGGTATTAAGTGAGTCAAAGCCAGAGAAGGCACAGTCAGGCTGAAAGCTGCTGCTTTGTACATGTCCCCCATACAACAGTTGAATGTTTAAGTCTCAGTTTTTAGCGTTTTACTTCTTCTTTACTTAGAAGTTAGTATCTTGGCTCCAAAGACTGGTTGGTAGAGATGCACAAATCAAACACACACTGTTCAGAAACGACAGGTTATTCGGCATAATCAGTCCTGACCAACAACTGGTCGGTCAGTACATGTTCTGCAGTTGATCATTTAAATGTATTCGTTATGTGTTAGAGAACAGACGAGAAAGCACACACTCACAAGCTGAAGCTAATATGTAGTTAGCTCGGAAGAACTTTCAGAGTAAACCAAGTGCCAACCTTGCTATTGTTAATATGTAGTATGTAACAGTAAGATTAATTGTGGGGAAGCAACAGCAAAGTGCGACAGAATATGAAACCAAAAACACAGACACTTAAAACCTCATTATCCAGCTGAACAGAGCCGTTTGTTTATTTATTTATTTTAAATGTGGCGTTACTGTAGCCATTTTAAGTCGCAGGTATGTATGTAGTTTGTTTAGTTTTATTGTTTTCTCTTCTTAACTATTGAACTTGTTACTTGAAAAAGACAAAATGTTGTTCTTGGACTTGATTACATTTTTTCAATTGTCAGACATTTTATTTTGTCTTGCACAAGCCTTTACTTGTCAAAGTTAGATGCAGAGGAACCATTTATTACCTCATTCCAGTCATCACACTCTTTATTTTGAAAGTTGTGGAACTGAAGAGAGGACCTGTGACTGGGTACTGTTTACATCACGTCTTCAGTTGGGATGGTCCAATGTTCTGGAACCAGAACAGCTTAATATTACACAATGCTGTAGCATGTAGCCATAACGTGAGTGACGGTGAATTAGTATGTCAGTGTTATCATGTCAACTGTGTGGAGTTATTTTATACATTGAGAACTGTAAGGTAGTCGAGTGGTGCAGCCTGTGCAACATGAGTGTTGGAAGAGGTGACAGCAGCTCTGGATTAGGCAACAGCACTAACTGACGTCAAGTCTAATATGCTGTGTAGCACTGAAGCACCAAGTGGTGCTATTCCTTTATGATAACTTATACCTATTTAAATTATCATCTGCAGGACAACGTCTATGTGGTTGAGGTTTGTGCTTCTTTGAGTGTGTGTTACGGTGCTCAGATTTTAACGTTTCCCCTTATATTTCTTTTGAACGTTAAATGAAGCTGCTGAACTCTGACCAATCAAAAAAGCTACGTAAAAGTTATGAGGGTTTAAAGTTCAAATGGAAAGCAGTAGCAGTATTCCAAACATCCAAAGCGACTTATTATTAGTAAACTTCATTTTGTATTGCCGTTTCTAGTTTGAGTTGTCTTTGTCCAAATATTTGGGTAGTTTTATATGTATTTTTTTTAATATTTTATAAGATATTTTTTACTATTTCCCTTTTAAGTTTGATTACATTTTTGAGTACACATTACATCCACCGTCACTTGTGAACAAAAGAAACACATTTCCATTAGGTTCCATTAAGATTTTATTTGTTTCTATCTTTGATTGGATGACAAAGGTGGATAACAGACCTCATGGAACATTAAAGCCAAAAATGGTTTGTCTTCTAAAGCCTTGAGCTCTGTCAGAACGTCATCTCTTTTATTTAAAATGCACTGGGAAAATAAGTGGCCCGATAAGTTGTTCTTTCTACACAGAACTACATTCATGACTAAAAAACACAAATCCAGAGTTTAGAGGCCAAGGTGAGAATAGACACCGAGCACTTTATAGCACTTGATGGGATTAAATCCTAACAATTTGTCACTGCATTCCTTCGGATCAAAACTGCCTTCACTTTGGTATTGCATTTATACATTATTAGATTTCTGCAAGGAAACAAACATGTACAGCTGCATAAATATATAAAATTCTCCCACTGTGTTCAAGGACATTCTGGTACGCACAGCATATTGCTGTGAATAATCCAGCAACAAAATATTATATATATATATATTTATCATCTCAAAAACTCATTAGCACCACTGTCCATTACAGTAGGCCAAAGGTTAGACACAACTCTACATTCAAGGCAAAAGAAGTAATCAAAAGGCTTAAAACCAAGTTATAAAACTCCCTTCACATGGTTTAGGTGATTTAAAAAGCACAAAAAGAAAATGTAAGGCAAAAGTAAAAAGGGTCTCCCTTGATCAAGTGTGAATAAAAAGAGAAAAGAAATTCCCTGGAGTGATTTTTTTTTAAAAAAAACAGGTCAGAACATTAAACTATTTCAATCACTCATAGCAACATTCACGCACATTTATGCTAAGCCTAGAACTTGCTCACAAAGTTTATAATTACGCAGTGTTGAAGAAGCAGAGTTTGACTAACAAACGCTCCAGAAACATCTACTGAAGCCACACAAGGCAGCGATGAGCAGACTTTTACACTTGTTGATGAACATTTGTCCCATGGCTTGTGGAAAAAAGTTGTTTACAGGAGAATAAATATTTATCATTAGGCCTACTGCTACTCTCTCTAAATTACAGTCTAAATGCTAAGTGTGGAAGCTAGTGATAAAAGCAGAACAATTTACGTACCATTTTCTGCTTTCTCCGTTGTTTTTGTATCATTTAAAGACTAGTTATGATTGACATATCCGCTAAAACCTAACCCTCTCCCACTCTTACCACCTATCATCTCTATGTTTAAGATTCAGCTACAGACAACAACAACAACAACAACAAAAAAAAGAGACGGAACAGGGCGAGGATGACGATGGCTTTTGGGCGACAAAGTACTACTGCTGTGATGGCAGTCATAAATTGTTGACCTGGAACTTGACATCAAAGCGTCCTTGGAAGCGATCTTTCTCGCTGTAATCGATGTTGTCGCCGTACACTTTGCACTCCACACGGAGTTCAGTGTTTGTGGTCAGGTTGGTGAACTGCAGTGCCACCAACGGCTGCAGGTACTGGGGGTGCAGCAGCTTGCCATAGTAAGGGTAATACTGCAGGGGGAAGCCGCCACCGATGCCGTAGTATTTAACCTCTCCGATTTTCCCGGCATCTTCCTCTCTCTGCAAGTGTAGAAAAAAGGCAGACGGATGAGCCTCACAGTTTCAAACTGATTTCTGCTGAGCTGTGTAAAAATCCACTGTGTACCTTGTTGGTGCAGTGGATAGGAATCACATTGGGTTGGACCTTGAATTGAGCATCGACAGGAATGCTCTCATTTGAGGTAGGAGGCTAAAGAAAAGAACAAATTACCATTAGACAGTACAGATCTCACTATCATTTGCTAAATGTTTTCTGATCTTTTTCTAAACTTCTTGAGCAATTTTTAACACTTTTGGATATTATTTAGGTTATTTCCTGAAAATGTGTAGTGTGAAATTTAAGCTGCTTTTATTGAATTTTGGTCAAATTGTTAGTCTTCTTAGCTTTTCTAGCTATCAATTTCACTGGCACTCATCCTTGCTGTGACTGGCAGCATCTGTGCCACGGTAGGCCAGCAGGACAGAAGAAGAATGAAGCCACCTAAAAGTTACTTGCTCACTGACAACCACAACCTCAAATTTGAATAATTTGACCATTAAATTTCTTGATGGCCAATGCTAAATTGTTCTAGTCTCAGGGTTCTACAATATATTTGGCTTTTTTTTTTTAATTACCCTTGGACGGAAGTTCACAATCCTGTTTAACTTCACAATCAGGCAGGGTTTGCCTTCCTTAAACCCAAAGTCACGGTCCTCAATACCAGAGCAAGGGCCGAGCAGAGTCCTGGAGAAACGGCACGCCTTCCTGACGCCCACATCCATCTCCAAGTCACCGCGGTTCTTGTACTCTGCAGGCTCATCTGAAGGGAGAAAATAAGTTTTAGGAACAAAGTCCAAACTGATCCATTTCACAGCAGCAGGTGTACTGTAAAAAAACAAACAAGAAAATCTCTACCTCCACAGTCTTCAAACTTCATCTGATCTTTCTGAAATTCATCATCGTACTTTGCCAGGAAATCCTTTAAAGCTTTAGTGTAGGGCAGGTAGGTCTCCACGTCGTTTAAGTTGAAGGACATTTCAGATTTTTCCGACCGTGGGGTGTGTGAGAGGCCTGCAGAGACAATACACATCTGCCTTGTTACTAACATGTCAAGATCCCTTTTCTTCAAAACAACGTGGATTAGATATTGTTGTTCTCTACACAGGACTTTGGGTAAGGTTGTCTGAACATTTTTTTAATCAGACGGCTCATTACCTACAAAACTGTGGTTGTAATCCTTTTGAGTTTATAGACTATTAAAGTAAAGAAAAAAGAAAATCAGTAGAGGTAGAGAAACAGGAGAAAAATAAAACAAATTCTGATCACTCGAAATTTGAGTCTCAGTGTCTCAGAGATACTGCGACACATTGGGCACAGAACACCGTGAAATGTACAGTTTTTTTTGCCATCTGCAGCAGATGATCTTGTTACTATCAATATCATGTCTGTGCTCACAGATAGTGTTTCCTGCTGCTGAACAAGATAGAAACCATTAGAATCTGCTGATCAGACTCAAATACCCTAAGAAAATCATTGCTTCTTTAGCAGCTTGATCAAGTTACATATGATTAACATATCCCTGTTACATATGATTACCTCAACCTCTGAATGATCTGCAGCTCGTTCTGCGCCTGCTTTGTTTGAAGGTGGAAAATACAAGAAGAACCACAATGTAACATTTTAAGGGAACCATTATGGCCAGAAGTATCTTTCTGTTGTGTTCTTAACTGCTCAGGAATCTGGATCTGCCAATTGTTGTTATCCATGCAGCACCTGAAGAATATTTAATCTGAAATGAAGACAAAGAGTGCCATGGAACTCTTGCAAAGGACTTTCCAGAAGTTGAGCCTCTTGTTGAATTTTTCAAGTGTCCTTGACTTTGAGAAACCAACAGCAGTGCGAGCCTGTCAACTTTGCCACTGACTCAACCGCTCGACACATTAGCTTCCTAAATCCCATCTGGTTTTTCTCACCAAGGAAACCAAGATGCAGTGGAAACAAGTGAAGCTGCACTGGGACTTTGTGGCATGCAGATCAATGTCACACATCTTGAAAACAATAGTCATATTACCTAAAAGATTGAGATGCATGTGTAAATGATGGGAAAACTAAGTTCCCTCTTAATTATCACCATTGGGTTAAATGTTAAACAAGTAGATAAATCCCATTCAAGACAAAAACACAATAAAAAACCCATGTCAGTCGGGATTATATGATCTACCTGACCACAATATTGTAACACATGTTCATCCTGACCAGGGACCTGATGGCAGGCAATCTGCTCATGTCAACAGTCTAATTAGAGTCCATTCAGTGAACACATTCAACAAACACTGAGAAGAATTGGGTAGATTATGTCACAAAGTCCCATTTAGAGAGAACAATATGTCTAATAGTTTGGATAATGATTATACATACACTTTGATGACAGACAAACAAACAGGAGGCAGGTGTAACATCTTACCAGGTGGTGCGACTCTGTCTTGCCAGGTGGGCTTGTAGTTACTCAGGGTAAGCAGCAGGGCCTGGATGGTGCCAATAAAGATGCCAGCGAGACAGCCATAGAAGATGACGTAGAAAGTAAAGATTTTGACTGTGGGGAAAGAAAAACCAACGAAAGTAAGGTGGCTGTCCAATGGGAAAGCAGAAGTGTGTTTTCCCAATGACTATACAAAAGTACAGTTATATAAGGTCCTGACATGTGGTCAAAGTCTGCCTTGTCTGCTAAAAGTCCACTTGGCCCCTCTGCGCAGCACTCCATTATGATTGCACTGGCAGGTTTTTATTTGACAGCAATCATCATCCATCACCTGGAGGGGAGTGGGATTTTTTTCAGACAACACCTGCTCCCCAAGTTGGCAGTGGTCTCTTGTTACTGATGTACATGTATTAACATATGTTGTAGACAATAGTGAACTGTTTTGCTTTATGCACTTGGCACTTTATCTTTGAAACAACTGCTTTAAAATCAAATTTGATGCCAAAAAAAAAAAAAAAAAAAAAAAAAAACTAAAAAAAAAAAAAAAAATGCAAAGAAAAACATTGACAAAAACATTTAATTAAACCAAAAGAAAAAGGAAACCATAGACCTCTCATAGAGGTGCTGACCTCTAACTGACCAGTTGGTAAGCAATTGCAGGTAAATGCGTCACCTGCATAAACGGCGTCAGAGTCAGGAGAAGATAATGAGACGCAGAGTAGGACCCTTCAGCAGGCGCACTGAAGGACAACACTCACACTGACAAACTCAGTCCTCATGTGGCTGCTGGACACTGTTAAAACGCTGTTACATAAATACAATTACTTTATTGTAAAAGCAGGCGTTCACACTCCATACATGTTGGTCAGGAAAGAACATGACAATGTAGCTGTGTCTCCACTATCAGTTTAAGGAAATACAAAGACGGCATTCAGGATTCCAGGGTATAAAAACTGTTCAAACAGTGGTTGCCATTGTCTTTAGACATTAAAACGACTTTTTCCTTGTGCTCTAAGCCTGTGCATGCTAATCACCAAAGGCACTGTTGTCTCCTCATCCTTAATTCCTAGCACTAGGACGCTGCGGCAGCGGAGTGTCACAACCCAATTATCCGTACAGAGAGGTAATTGATGCGTGAAGCGTCAAGCTTCAAGTCGGCCGCTTCGGCAACAGTCTTTCAGTCAGCAGGAGGCAATGTCAAAGAGTCAGGGTGACATTAAAACCCCCCTTTAGCTGTGTTAAATTGAAGGACACACAAGTCGGTAGCATATGTTATCTGCTGATAAGGAGTCACAGAAGTAACATGACATATGTTTAACAAGTAGCACTTAACGGAGGCCAGCAAATAAACAGAATGGTGACTTCAAACAAAGCCCTAAGAGAGGACAAAGGCCGATGAGGTTATGCAACAAATATGACTTTTATGAGCCACCGTCTGAGCATGGTGTTCCTCATAATGACAGGCACTGATATCAGCCATTTTTTCAAATTTTATGAAATGAACCTCCACCGTAACAATAACTTTCCATATTGAACACGTAGTGCTCCAACTGTTTAACAAACATTTTGTACCCAAAGGCAGATAAACAGCCCAGTAATTTTACATCACTCAGCTGCTATCAGTTCTAGCAGTCTGACATTGGGGAGAAAGGGGAAAGAATGTCAAATAAGTCATTGATAAACCTTTTTGGCAGTCTTCTATTGTATACTAACCTAAGTTAATCTGTGGACTGACAAAGTGTAGTAACAGAGTAAGCTATTATTCATGATCTGAAACTGTCCGCAATTCACACACCAAATGAAACTGTGCGCTCTATTCACTTATGTTTAGTTTAAAATTCTTTAAATTAAAGCTAAATAAAAATTGTATTTCAAAAAAAAAAAAAAAACCTACATCAAAAAGAGGCTTTGGCAAATGTATAGGAATTTATTCCACCTGCATTTTTGTAAAGGTAAAATATGCCAAAAATACCTATAAAGATGACTGCAGTGGTGCTGCCCTCTAATTGTAATTTCTACTTTCACCTCCATGCTGCAAGAGTTTGGGACAGCTTCTGGTCAGATGTGTTGGCCAGTGAAAAATACATCCAGTAGATGGCAGTCATGCAGCTCAAAAAACCAGAGAAGGGAGTGTTCAGAAGAGGAGGTGTTGCCCCGCCCAAAGCTTGTCGCTCAAGGAAAGTGCTATATAAGTGACCTTTAATACTAAAGGGTTCAAAGACATTTCCAAGGTCAACTTTAAGAAAAAAAACATGTTTATGCTTTTCCAGCACATGAAAATAGAAGCGAGGTGTAAGTAAAGTTAAAATCAAATGGCTTTCACCTTGCCGATTGCCTATTTACAATAGCAGTAAATTCCAAGCCTTAGTCTTTGGCTATTAGTACAAAATTTTGTGTATGTGGTAAGGTTAATAAAAAAATTTAAGGACCTATTTGAGTTGTCACATGTCAAAAAAACAAAAACAAACAAAAAACCAACCTGGTAGATTACTTAGATTTTTTGTTTCTGGAAACAGTACATGTACATAGTGACACAAAAGTGTAATTTAATTGAAAGCAGTGGCCACAGTCCATTGCCTGAAATGATATATAATAGTTCTAAAATAATACAATCGTATAGAGTAACCTTAGGATTAAACAAAATAAAAGCACTGTGGAACAGACACATTATCAAGGGTTAATCACCACAGGCCAGCGGCAGTGATGACATTGGTGGCAGCTAAAGATATAGCTACAACTATACAGTGGGGGCGATGTACCAACATGTTAAAATTACAAATCATTTTGAAATCTAAGCCATGCTTTTAGAAATGTGTAAAAAAATGCAATGTTAAAATTAAAACAGAGAGATTTATTACTGTGAATTTAGTCACCGTCAAGTCCTGGTTAGGCTATGCTACTTCTGCTAACCCCGATTCTTTGGACAGTGGCTAATACATATTTAAATCTGAATTACTGCCACTTATGAGATCTAATTTACTGACCATTGGCAAACATTCTCACCCAGAAACTTACACCTAATACTATGGTACCTGTGACCCAATGTAATTAATAACATGATTTCTACAAGATTATTTTTTTGTTCTTTGCTTTGTAATAGGCTTTCATGTTGTAACTTGGAGAAAACCGGGAGTAGGCAATTAATCATTAATTAATTGCCTACTCCCGCCTTACATGCAAACTTCACCAGATTACTGCGCATGGCACACCTCCCTGATGCATCAGCATTTTTCAGATGACCTCAGAAGGACGAATACGAGTCCTACCCCCTCCTTTTCTTCCCAACTCCTCTATGGCTATATGCATCACCCTGAGCTTCTCCCGCTGCTGTTCCTCAACTCTCCCTTTTCCCCAGCTACAAAACAGACAGGACGTCACTGAGACAACATTTTACCCAGGTGTGAGTTCTGCTGCTGTTGTTGTTTCATCGCACTGACATTGACGAGGAATAAAAAAGAAAAAGAAAAAGAGAAGCAGACACTATGAAGAGGGCGCTGTTGCTGCTACTTCTGCCCGGGAAACAGGAGAAGAAAGGTCGAAGCTAGTTAATCAGCTGTATTGTTGCTGCTTAGATCACACAGTGACACCTGATCACTGGAACCTGATATGGATCGATGAGTCCCCCCCTCTCTTCTCCCATTTCCGAACAGGCCCATATCCATCCACCCACCTATCCTTCTATCTTCCTATCACCTTGGCTCACCTTGGCCAATGATGCATTTTTAACCCTTTATACTCCCCACAAAAATGACAAAAATAATCATAACTTCACCCAACAACAACACGAAACAACCACTCCGGCCCACACTGAAACGATCTTGAAAAAACAAATACATAAAGAGTGGTATTATGTCTTCTGTTATCTCAATATTATGTTTTATTTTAAAAGTATAACATTTGTTTGTGATTTTCTTTTCTACAACGGGTTTCTGCGTGAAGAAGGAGGCAGCAAAACCCCGGAGCTTTTTCTCTATGACACAGCCGGTTTGTTCCCGAATGCAGCAAAGTCAAATCAAACAGGTGGCGCGTTACCGTCACTACAAGTACGCGCTTACATTGTCGTTTTAGTGTTTCCATTATTATCCAATTCCATTATCTCCTACTCCATTATTATTTTGCCTAAAAAGAACTGATTCAACGGCGGCTGTACTTACACCAACTGCTGCCGGTGCGACCCATGAACTCCCCTCTCTCCGAGTTCCATAGGAACTTCTTCCAGCCGCCGTCATCTTTATTTGCAGGCATATCGCTCTTAGTCCGCTGGGCTTAAGCTCCGCAATTCAGTTACACACACTCACCGCTACGACGGCACCCAGCTCCGAGCGTTGGAAGGCTCCCTTTAATATAAGCTGCTCTCGACTCCGCCCGAAAACTCCCGACAAGTTACCTAGTAGGAGGGCGGAACAGTGGCGGCTAATTGGCGAGCTCGCCGTGCCGTGCGTACATCTGACGTCACACAGACGGACAGAGAGCCTATAGAAGAGGCGGACGTTTAGGTGTTTTTACATGTTCACGTCCTAACGGACCTGTGTGCACATTTCGGATCCATCTGCCCCACGTTTTCCCTTCTCATACTGTGGTTTCACACATCAATCAAGGTTAATTTAAACCTGATTAAATATAGGCCAGGTAAAGCATTTGTCTTAACTAAAAAAAGAGAAGAGAATTACAACTGGATGAAGTTTTGTCACTGAGTCTCCAGCTAAAATATCTCGACTGAAAATTAGATTATATAAACATGTGTATGTGTATATAAACATATATTACAAAATATGTATATTTATATATGATTAACAAATTGAACACAAAGATAATTTACACCCTTTCCCTCTTTTTTCCATCTTCTGGGTTCCCTCTGTTTTTTTAAATGCTTTTAAAGTTTACTTGGTAAAATAAGACCAAGAACTCAAGTTTAGACCATAATTAAGTTTTCATTCAACAATTCCCTCTCCAATGTTTGAAAACGCTGAAACACCCTTAGAAAGTTTTAGTTAGCATTTTTAAAATCAAACAGTGTTGTTATCATCTTCCACATAACATCCTTACCCCAAGAGATACTGTGTATGTGATACAAAAGACAAGGCTGCTCCATCATCAACATCACTTAACTCTTTAAACTCAGCGTCGAACTTTGTTTGTTTACAAACATCAACACTTAGCTTATAGGGTACTCATCTGTGTTTTTATTACATGCGTCTACATGTTGCGGTGATTGCCAGTATAACCAAATTAAAAAAATTACAACATCAAAATCCCATACTTCAGCCTGACTGTTCAGGTTAGGTCACTGCCCGATGTCCATGCAGAATGACTACAATGATTACAGTGTTCAAACCAGTAATTCTGAATGAGACTACTTCCTTTAAAGCAATCATTATTGTTTCATCTTCTCCACTGACACAATTGGTGTGATACACCTGAACCCTACGTGGCTGATTTTCACACAGACACACGCACAGACACATATAAGACAACTGTTCCTTGCTTAACTCTGTGGGTGTCCTCTGTTGTGTGTGCAGTGGATCCTCATGTCACACCACAGGGATAATATGCTCTAGTTACACAACATGGCCAAGTATACACAACGTTGAAACCCGTTTATTTATCCCAGGCTGTATCCCCGCTCCAAAGCTGGCTCCAAGGGCATTTGTGCTGCCAGTGCTGGGGGGTACAGATGACCTAAATTCTCCATCTGAGCTCAAATTAAGGAGCTTTTTCCTTTATGCTGTGTTACATTTTACAAAAATAATGCGGCTTCTTAAGCTAAAAACCCTACACTGATGACTTGTCTCAATGGTTTAAAGCTGTTTTGTGCAGTTTTTGTGTTGTTCTGTGAGTACAGCAAAAACAGAGTTCCAATTAAACTATCAACAAGCTCAAAGTCAGGTTTGTTTAATGACACAAAAGCCACTAAAAAACTTTTAATAGTCTTGTATTTGGGTCAAGATGTATCGCTCTTACGTGTTTACAGCCACCATGATGTTACTGTGGTAACTTGTTTTTGCCTTTGTTTTTTCAGTCTGAGAGTGTATAAAATAACTGAGACTTGAAACTCTTTGGAAACAGTTTCAGTGTATTTTGATAAAAAGAGAGCTCTGGAAATGATGAGGAAAGAAATTCCATATTCCATATTAACTTCCTAATTGGACATTCCTACAGAGTCACCTTGACTCTGTAGGAATGTCAATAGCTGTTACCCAGAAGCAAAGACCTTTTTTGCATAACTAGCATTTTTTGTTTTGTTCTTTCTTCAACAGCTTCTATAAAATTATAGTTTTTTTGGTAAAATATTGATACTGCTAACCGTTGAGATTTAGAAAAAGGAGGAGGTGGGCAGGGGTTACACATCAGGACCAAGTGGGTCGCATATGATACATTTCTGGCCCAAATATGGCAAAAATTGTCTGCACTTGGGTGGTTCACATGTTTGCCACAGGCTTGAGGCCAAGCAGTATAAATACACAGCCAAAATTGTTAAAAAAAAAACAAAACAGAAATGGACTAAATATGGGCCTATTTTGATATGATGATATTCAGATTATACTTTGCCAAGAGCGATTTGCCAGAAAAGTCAAAATCTGCTATTTTTAAAAAAATTGTCTACATTAGTTGTATATCCGTTTTGCCCGATGGTGGTATATAATATCCATGTTGATATCTAATGTAAAATCTGTCAGCACAGACACTCGACGAATCATGCAACTTCACATTCTTTCCTGCATGTGTGAAATGTGTGTGTTTGTACATGCATGTGTGAAATCGTTGAAATCGCAGTGGGCTGCCATCTTGCCTTCTCAGGGCTGCGTACATTTGTTTGGATGTAAACACACGTTGTGTAGGTCTTACACATCAGGATCAAACGCGAACACACACACACACACGGCATGTTTTAACCTTTAAAGTGTCTCAAGGGCAAGAAGAAACAAAGGACAGCTCATCTGAAACAGTTGGACGAAAACTGGCCATGTCAGGCCTTTTTGAGCTGTACTTTCTCTGACTTCACAATTAAAAGTATGCATCCATCAGCAGAAACCATGTCTCTTTTCGCTCTGACATGATATTATTATGTCTGAAACACTTGTAAATGTTTAACTGATACAACAGTTTATGTTGAGGAGTAATATGCTATATAAGATCTTGATCATTGCCTCTTTAGTTATAATTGGTCAAATACTTGGCTGTTGGTCAAGAATCTGGAATATTTTGGCATGGTGTACAGACAGGGACGTTTGACCACACTGCACCTGTGAGTAGTAGCAGGAAAATGTATAAATCTGAACAGAAGTTAAAACAGTTTACCAGAGCCTTAGAAATACAGCAGAAGTACTCACAATTGCACACAAACTGAATTGAATATTATACAAGGTGGCAAAGGCTTTTTAAAAAAAAAATTATGGATTTTTAGCTTAAATTGTTGTTACTGTGTCAAAAAGGTCCTGTCCAAGAAATACAATTTTAAATATTAAATAAAGGACTAGGGACGCACTGTGGGTTTGTTGTCATCCATGATCACTTAGTCCTCGATTACTTCTCAGAACACTGAATAATATAATAGATCTACCCTGAGAGAGAGAGAGAGAGAGAGAGAGAGAGAGGGTGTGCTCTCCTATTGTCTGTTCATCTGTAAATACTTGTTTCCTTTTGAACTGAGCCACAGTGACAGAAGCCGCTCCTCTCTCTTTGCGTCTCTGAACATGACAGTACATGTAGTCTGTGGGAACTGTGTCGCTACCGTGTATTTGTCCTGATCCCCAGGTACATACTTATAAATTGCCTGGGAACATTTCCTGCGTTCGTGATGATGTTGTTATCAGGCAGGAATCACACAGGCACGGTCAATGGAGCAGCCCCACTCAGATAAAATCTGCCTTTTTTTACTATAATGACACAACCCCCAGTGTGTGACAGTTAGACCACACCCATCAACTGATGCCTCTTAGTATGTGTGCAGTGTAAACATGTGTGTGGTGTAAGGTCTGAAAGGGGGCAGGGCTGGACTCAAGGTGAACGTAAGTACCTCCGATGAGACTGCTGTTTACACAATGGGTGAACTGCTATTTGATGTACTTTCAACTACATCCTGACCACACAGGCCCGTATAAAGCACGTGTTTGATTGTCATGGAACTTGAGTCGCATTATAAAATATCCTAATTGATGAAGTCTATCTATCTATCTATCTATCTATCTATCTATCTATCTATCTATCTATCTATCTATCTATCTATCTATCTATCTATCTATCTATCTAAATAACTGTACACATCCACCTTCATATCTGTGATGTCCAATTATCTAACCCTGTATGTGTTTGAGTACCAACAAGGTATTTTAGAGTTACAGAGTATTTAGTTAATTACACACCTTTATTGCTAAATAAATGTTGTGATCTTCCATTTTGTGCATTCTTATGTAGAGGTTTTTGTTAATGTAGACGATGGAAGGTTTACAAGATGGCAGTAAGACCTGTGGTGATGGATGGTTCAAAGATGGCAGAGCTGGAGGTGGTTTACAATAGAAGTAACCAGGATAAGCAGATGAGAGAAAAACTGATGAACAATTTAAAGGTGGAGGCTAGACGGACCAGATTAAGATGGTTTGAACGTGAAGAGAGAACATGAAGACATTGGACAAAGATGGAACCCAGAGAAGACGAGACTGTAGTGAAAACAAACCTAGAGATGTAATAGTGGTGGAGTGAGATGCAGGTAGATAATCTGCTGTGGTGACTCCTCAAGGGAACAACCTGAAGAACAAGGAACATTGTGTTAGAGACCCAGAAAGTCTGGTCTTATATAATATCTTATATGGTCTTATATGGCAACTATTTTTATGGTATTTTGGTTTTTATGGTTAACTTTATTATGACAGTGCAGCTTAAAAAACACTGTCCCTTTCATTTCAACTGTAAAGTTATATTTTCTGTCCTATTAGTCACAAACCCGTCAGGTGAGAAATAACTGTTTTTAAATTGTTTCCAAGACAAGTGACTGACTCACATCTAAGCAAACTATACAAACCTATAAGGATAAAATGAAATACAGACGTGACGATGGATCAGCAGGAGATGAAATGGCAGTGAATATCTCAAGAAATCTCTTTAGACTATGGGTAGTTTAAACTCCACAAACACTTCATGGCAACAGTATTCAAAGATCTTTAAGTGGGAAAATAAAAAAACCCAAAACATTAAAGAATATATGCAAGGTGCTTTAGGAAGCTAACACAAACAACTTGGAGTCTATGTGGAGTTTCAGTTTTGGCTTAACTGCTCCATCCTGCTTCCATGACTTTCAGGCTGTTTTTCAGGTTTTCAATTTGCACCTCTTTAGTTATCTAAATT